TTGGATTGTAGTGACTTGTTTTGATGAAAGCATGATCTGTAATTTCACTTAAGAAGACATTAGTGAACATAGAACATCATTAATGAATTATGATCATCAAAAGCCTTGGATTCAAGGTCAACAACAACTATCCAATCAATAACCTACTTATCAGGGGAAACTCTTTCTTGAGCCCTACTTTTTAAAAATCTTTGGACCTAAAAGAGTCCGAAGGCCTCAAAGAGACAAAATTTCCTTTGAGGCATAAAAGAGTGCCGAGGAACAACAAATATTTTCGTACCACAAAGAGCCTGAAGGACTCAAAAAGGCAAAACATCCTCCATGGCACAGAAAAATGCCGAAACTCAAATCCTCAAATCTAAAAGAGTTCGAAGGCTCCAAAAGCATAAAAATTCTTCAAAAGGCATAAGAGAATGCAAAGACTATACAGGATAAAAAGATCATATTACATTGATTCAGAATAAATATTGTTCAAAACAATAACCCATTTATTCAAAAAATATTACAACAACCAAGAGCAAATTTATTTTCTCTTGGGATCAAAAGGAACAGGAGCAAAGGCAGCCACCACATTATAGCCAGGGGCCTGAACCGAGGCGGTAGATGAACTAGGAGCTTAAGCGCCCATCTGGTCTCCCTTCACCATCTCTACAAACAGCACATCGGCCTCCTGAGCTTTCAGACCGTCAGTGTAAGGATAAGAGACACCCATATCCTTATCGAAGGACTCTGGCATCTTCTTCTTATCGCCCGAACCATGGAAGAAGCTAGATCTGAAAGCCTTAGCACTGGATAAGCACACAAGCGAGGAATAGTGATCCTGCATTTGCTTCCCAACCATTATGCAGGTGAAGATCGACTCTCTCTAACGCTGGTTTTCAGCTTCCAACTCCTCCACCTTGGCTTCAGAAGCTGCAAGCTTACTTTTATAGAGGTCCTTAGTGTCGGAACATATCTTAAGGTCCAAACTCGCATTGGAAAGCTTCTTCTCTACAGCAGCAAGATCCTTCTCCATTTTTTTAATAAAAAAAGACTGAGCCTCAACAGTTACACACAAGGTTATAGTGTGGTACAAGCTCCACAAAATAATCAAAGTAAGAATAAAAAGACACTGTGATGAAGAAAATAGAAAAAGCTAAGTCGAACCTCCATAGCTCGCACAGGGGCAGAAGGAAGAAGCTGTTCCAATCCCATCTTCCCTATTAACTCATCTTTGGGAAGGCAGATCACTCGGACAACTACCAACACAGCAGAAGGATCCGTTACCACAGAATTACCAGAGTGAAGAACCAATTTATCGGCCCTTGAAAAAGTTAGCCTCCAAAAATCTCTCATGTCAGCCAAGACATAGGCACGAACTTCTTCTTCGGCCTCAACCTCCCCAACTTTCTATTTTCCCTTAGCAAGGTCAATGCCTTTATTCCTCAGGGTTAAAGAAGGGGTCTTTTTCGCCTTCTTCCTCAAGGAAATTTCTTTGGTCTCTTTCTCTTGCTTGGTGGAGCGCACCACCACCAGAGGTTCTTCTGCAGCTTTCTTCTTGAGCGCTTCTGCTCTCTTTTTCTCCTCATCAATTAGAGGAAAATCATTAAAGGAAGGAAGGGACAAATCCATAAGATCAGTCACTGAAGCACTGGACGCAAGCTCCTTGAGGTTGGATGAAGAGAGAAGATCCTCTACGGACGGAGGGTTCTTCCAAAATTTCTTTTAGAGAAAACCAAGCCTCCCCTGGCCATCGAAGATGGAAACAACGCTGAAAAAACACCAAGAAATTTATAAATACAACGAAAAAGTAAGACCTGACATGGAAAACAACCAAAACACTCCGGATGGAAAGATGAAAGTCCCTTTGTACCTAAAATTCCAAATTTTCAAGGGATAGGGAGTTTTTCAGATTGGGGCACAGACCATTTCCCCCGAACAATAATCATCATTTCTTTCCATTTCTTTTCAGAAGTAGGAAGGTCCATACATAGTCTCTGTTGAAGAGACGAGGTGAAAAAATAACAGCCAATCTCAGTTTGATGCCTAATAATGGTATAGTTGAATAACAAATCAGTAAGGTTCAGATCGATTCCCTCTAGCCTTCAGCGAACAAGAAGAGCAGAAATTATTCTAAAAAAATTAGGGTTTACTTGAAGAGGAGCAACCCCCAACTTATTGAAGACTAAGTGATAGAAGAGATGAAGGGGAAAACGAAGGGCATGGAGATGCCCAACGGATAAGAGTAACTCATTCTCACCGACGCCCTCACCAGAATAGAAATTGGCATCGGAAGGGTATTTGGCTATCTCTACCTCCTCGGGGATCTCAAATTCCTCCATCACGAAATCAAAAGAGAACTTGAGGCGACGGACCGATAAAATCATTTCTCTATCATCTTGGGTAAATATTTCCTCAGATCCAGAAATGGATTCCTCCGCCTAATGCGAAGAATCATCTCCTCTCACAGCAGAATCATTAGAAGCACCAACAGGGTTGGAAACTTTTGGGTGGGAGGTCTAATAAGAATAGGAGATGCCAAAGGAATGGTTTCAGAATCTATGTTCTCTATTTTGTCATGAACAAGTGAAGTATTCATAGTGTGGAATCAATTAGAGAAATGCACTAACCTGAGAAGAAGATGAAGCTACGAAACAAAATGATAACAGGAACGAACTTTTCGTCGGAATATCAATAGCCACTGTTAAACCGCCTTTTACAATTCCAGCAACTGTGTAAATTCAATTCCCTTCTAATTAGGGACCATTGCTGAATTTAGGAGGAAATTAGGGGTAAAGTGTGGAGGGAAAAATCCCCTTACCAATAAGAACCAACCACGTCAACGGATGAGTCACGACCTATTTCTTTTGGGCCACTAGACTTCTAAGGCCCAGTTTGATCAAGCCCAAAAGAATCATCATCAGCCCATCACAAGATCAGCCAAATCTACTCTTGATCAAACATACAGCCTGGATAAATATATTTTTATAATCCAAATCAATTATTCCCGAGATTTAGGGAGTTTCACATAGAAAGAGCTATATAAAGAAAGAGCCCTGCATAGAGGACCAAAAAAAAAAAAAATATACAAACAAACAAACAAACAAACCTCATATGGAATAAAATGTGGAAGGATAATGATGAAGAAACCGTGGAGGGCAAGCAAGGCAAGTCTTACCATAATTTTACAACCAAATCTTGTATAAATAGTGGCATGAGCCTACAATAAAATATATCAAAAATTCCCAATTTCTATTATACATTGTTTTTTATTGTTTTCATTGAGTGTGTTATTCTTATTCTTTGACTCATTAGAGTTAACGAATTTTTCACCTACAGATCTCATCCAAGAATGAGATAAATTATACGTGAATGAGGCAAGAAAAATATATATATAAATATATATTACACAACAATTAACATTTAACTCCATTGATGACCCAAGATCATGCAAAACTTAAATTGATTCATCTCCAGACCAAAAAAGTGAAATAAAATGATATCTTCAATTACAATCAAATTTACCTTAGGCTAGCCTTCAAAAAATACTCAAAATAAGTTCATTTATATTATGTTTGGTGGCACCGAACCAGCGCTTTGGATTTGGAAAAAATTTAGGTCATGTTCGGTTGCATAGAATTAGAACTTTGGAATTGAAATTAGTAAAATTTGAAAAAAAAAAAAAAAAAAAAAAAAAAAAAAAAAAAAAAAAAAAAAAACTTAGAAAATTAAATCAAAATTTCTCCAATTCCACCAATTTTAATTCTATGCAGCCGAACACAACCTTAGTACAAATTTTGAACTCAACTCCCTCTAATCCCAAATTCAAAGCACCGAATCGGTGCTCCAAACATAACATTAGTGTCAGATTAGGGCAGACAATTACAGAAGTACGCAGAATTTAAAGCAACCGCCCAATAATTTAACTTAAGATGGACTTATCCAGGTTCCATTCTAAGCCCACTAATCAAATTGAATCTCATTTCTGAGCATTAAACTAAGCATTAAGAAGACATTTCACAGTCTGGAGCAGCCATCTAATCCTTCCATATCAAGTTCTTCAGCAAATTAATGGATTACTTAGAAATTTCCTTTGGATTGGATTTGAGCTCAAATGCACTAAGGCAATGATCAAGTGGGTGGAGGTTTGCAAACCAAAGGACTATGGGGGTATTGGAATACCAAAACTTTACTCCCTCAACGGGATTTCTGTTTTAAAGCACATTTGGTATTTATTTAAAGATGAGGGGTAACCTCTCTGGTTTGATTGGGTTCACTCCAACTAAATCAAATGTCGTAGTTTTTGGACAATCAAACCTAGCCAACTGAGTTCTTCGAATTGGAAAATGTTGTTCAAGCTGCAAGGTTTGGCCAGGCCTTTCATCAAGCACCTGGTAGGTGATGGGAAAAGCATCTCACTGTGGTATGATTTCTAACTGCCTTTAGGCCCTCTCCATGGGAGAGTCAACGCTAATTTGATTACCAGCTCCAATTGGGGAGATAGGGCCAAGGTTAACACTCTTATCAGGCAATCCCAATAGAGAATCAACCGGACTTTTCAAGCCATTACCCCTACTGTTGGGATTTCTGAGGTACTGCCCACCATCAACATCAACTCATCAGATAGAGTTACTTGGACTATCTCCCCTAATGGCTCCTTCCACCTTAAGAGCACATATATTGCTCTCCTCCCTCCTAGCCCGAGGGTTAATTGGACACATGTCATTTGGTTCAAAAATCATATCCCAAGACATGCGTTTATCGCGTGGGTTGCTATCAATCATAGGTTGAAAATTAGGGACAAATCGAGATTCTCTAGAAGGATTTTTGACGAGAGATGCTCTCTGTGTTCTACAGAATACGAGAATCATGATCATATCTTCTTTAATTGCTTCTACTCCAACCAAGTGTGGCAATTCTTTCAAAATAAGTGTGGGATTTACACAGGTGAGCATGGTATTCAGGCCATTGCAAATTGGATAGCCAACCTGTGGGATCCAAGCTCAACTTCTACCAAAGCTATGGCATACAAGTTTTGTTTTGCCGGGTCAATTTATTACCTTTGGAAAGAAAGGAACAACAGAACTTTCTCTGGAAAGCGTTTGACAGTGAGTGATCTCAGCAAGTTGATTGATGATTGTGTTCGATGTAAGCTCGCAACCATCCAACATAGGGATTGTGCAACCTCGAGATCTGTCGCTGCTGATTGGAGCCTTCCGAGCTCAGTGATCAATGTCATACCTCCTTAGTTTGCTTTGGAATCTCTCTGTTGGTCTCTCCTATCGCCCCAACTTGCTACAATTTGATATGTAACGGCTCATTTGGGGTGGATGGATCCTGTTTTGGTTGGGTTTGATTGGCCCAGTGTTTTGCCCTTGGCCTTGGGCTGTGTTCTTGTTGGGCTCTGCCTTTGCTGTACAGATCTTCGTTTTTAATATATTTACTTACCCAAAAAAATATATCTAAAAGACTATAATCATTAACTGTGCAGTGCTTATATTATCTCTAAAAGTCATTTTTTTTCTTTGATACCTTTTTCAATTTATTTATTTATTTTTTTTGTGTGTGTGTGTGTGTGTGTGTGTGTGTGTGTGTGTGGTAAGTATAATTTTTTCAAACTTTGATAAGTTCTTTTCTTGATAGAAGTGGAAACTAATGTTCTTAATTTTTTTTTTCTTCATCTAGTTTTAAAAATTCACATTAAAAATGTAAGTTTTGCCGGAATTATGCATGTTCTTGTTCACCATTGTATACAAATTATAATTAATATTTGATAAATAGGTATTTGTAAATGGTAGGGATTGGTGATTGAAAAACAAACATACAGAAAGAGAAAGAAAAGAGATGGAAAGGAAAAAAAGCAAGCATACTAAAGAGATTTTTTCTTGAGAGAGTAGGAGAGATCAAATAAGAGAGAAAAAGAAAGAGACCTAGTTAAGGGATTAATGAATAAATAAAAGTGGAGCGCAATTTAACCAATTTTAGAGCGCAAATAACAGCTCCCTGTATAAAAATCAAAATAAATAAATAATAAAAAATAATAATTTGCGGCAATTGGTAGTTGGTTCAGATGGACACCACACCGAATCCATAGTCCCCCAAAGAAGAGGTCAGATTTTTAAAAGAGGGACCAAAAGATGGTGAAAAAAAGGGTAACAGGTGGAAATCAAGAAATGCGGAAAATGTGAGGGACTGAATAATAAATAAATAAATAAATAAATAAAATGCTTGCTTAGCATTGTTATATATATATAGCTACTACTACGTCCATTAACCCAAATTACAATCACAATCTCTTTTTGGTAACTGAATCTTTCCTTTTCTCGCAATGCTCATGGAGACAATGCGAACACCCTCTCTTCCTCTTCTTCTTCTGTTGTCTCTCTTCTTGTTAGGTAAAACCATATATATATATATATATATATATATATATATATATATATACAGTATATGTATATGTATATCTAACTAGCTTCTGTTACTTAATTGTAACTCCTGGGAAGATTCTTGATTAATTAATGCCTGTTTAATTATGGGTTTATGAATATAATGCAGTGGATCTTCTGAACTTTTAGTAATTACTACATTGAGTTTTTTTTTTTTTCCCCTACTTTCCTTGATTTTCTTAGCAGCCAAACGATAATTGAAGATTTATATACTGTTCAAGTAAATGTTTTGATCTGACCCACATCATTTAATAACACAATTGCAGGGATTGCAGATTCGGCAACAATCTTCACGCTTGAAAATCACTGCAGCTACACAGTTTGGCCCGGAACATTATCCGGCAACGGAGCCGCCGTCCTCGGCGACGGTGGCTTCGCATTGCCTCCAAGCTCGTCGGTCCACTTCCCGGCACCACCGGGCTGGTCGGGCCGCTTCTGGGGCCGAACTGGGTGCAAATTCGACGACTCCGGCAACGGCAATTGCACCACCGGCGACTGCAATGCACTCCAGTGCACCGGCGGTGGAGCTCCACCGGCCACCCTGGTTGAATTCACCCTCGCCGGCGGCAGCATCAACAGCGACAAGGACTTCTACGACGTCAGTCTCGTGGACGGCTACAATGTGGGTATGAGCGTACGGCCGTCCGGCGGCACCGGCGACTGTCAGCACGCCGGTTGCGTCACGGACCTCAACGGGAACTGCCCGCCGGAGTTGAGGGTCATGGATTCGGGTTCAGTTGTGGCTTGCAAGAGCGCATGTGCTGCATTTAACGCGCCGGAATTCTGTTGCACCGGCGATCACTCGACGCCGGCGACATGTTCGCCGAATCAGTACTCGGAGATGTTCAAGAATGCGTGCCCGACGGCCTATAGTTATGCTTATGATGATGCTTCAAGTATTTGTACTTGTTCCGGGTCGGATTACTTGATCACCTTCTGTCCAACCGGGTCATGATTTGATGTTATTATGCATTGTTCCTAGAATTGTTTTTAACATATATATATATATATATATATATATATATATATATATATTTTTTTTTTTCTGATTGTTAAGTAATCAATAACATTTAGGTTGGTTTGGTGCGAAATTTACAGGAAGGGAAATAAATTTTTATATTGAAAAAACAAGTATTTTCATGCAATCGAACATAATATGAATGTAATTTGGATCAACTTCAAGCAAAATATGTCATGACGTACTTCATGGTTCAGAGATTCAGTAGAACTTGTTATTGGTTCTTAGCATGTTGAGTCAAAGGCCCATATAGCATTTGGTTATCAAGAATGTTACCCAGAAATATGACCACCATTCTCATATGTACAGAGAAATATATTTAATTTAATTACAGCAAGCTACGGAAATATATTTAATTTAATTACCAGCTCTAAATTTCTAATACCATACCATTTCTATAAGAAGTTTAATTTATCATCTCATCCAAGAATGAGATGAATTATATGCGAATGAGGCAAGAAAATATATATATATATATAGTACACAACAATCAACATTTAACTCCATTGATGACCCAAGATCATGCAACGCTTACATTGATGCATCTCCAGACCAAAAAAGTGAAACAAAATGCTATCTTCGATTACAATCAAATTTACCTTAGGCTAGCCTTCAAAAAAAATACTCAAAAGAAGTTTATTTATATTATGTTTGGTGACTCTGAATCGATACTTTGAATTTGAAATTGGAAAAAATTTAGACTATGGTTGTATGAAATTAAAACTTTGTATTAGCTTCATTTTCCGAAAAAAAAGAATTGAGACTTTGTAATTAAAATTAGTAAAATTTAAAATTTAAAAAAATAATAAAAAATAAATAAATATACCAAAATTTTATCCAATTCTACTAATTTCAATTCCAAGAGTCCAATTTCATGCAGCCGAACACAACCTTGGTTCAAATTTTGAACTAAATCCCCTCCAATCCCAAATTCAAAGCACCGAATCGGTACTCCAAACATAACATTAGTGTCAGTTTAGGGCAACAATTACAGAAGCAAGCAGAATTTAAAGCAACTGACCAATAATTTAACTTAACATGGATTCATCCAGGTTCCATTCTAAGCCCACTGATCAAATTGAATCTCATTTCTGAGCATTAAATCAAACATTAAGAAGACACTTCACAGTAAAAGTTTCATCACTCAGTTACTTTTGACATGACTAAATCTGAGACAGATGACCGATGTATCGAGTTAAAAAGAAAGTGATATATAACCTGACAAAATCTGGACCACTGTAAAAAAATTACAGTAACTTTGCATGCAAAGTATTCCTTTCCCAATCATTAAGTCCTTGGACTGGGCAGAAGCAAAAACATAAAAATCACTGGAAGGACTTGAATCAGTCAATAGACAACAATAAGCAGCATCTGATTTTAGTAACTTCTCCCCCAGTAGGTCCACTTCTTTGCAGGCTTACCAGAAGCAAAGCAAGGTGTCCCTGCATAAGAGTTCAATTCAAGTTTCAAAACAGGAAGCAATCTCATATTTTGCAATCATTCCGAGCTTTAAAAGAATTAGGGGAAAAAATGAGAGAGAGAGAGCGAGAGAGAGAGAGAGAGAGAGAGAGAGAGAGAGAGCCACCAATAATTACAGTAACCAATGGTTCCAAGGATCCTAGACATCGTTCCAAGGTGGTCTTTTTTGGTGTTTTGTGTGTGCGCGCATGTGAAAATGGGGCGGGAACGGATTCTTTGAATTTTTCTCAGGACAGAGATGGGACTGCTTATAAAAACCCAGGACGGGTTTTAATGAGGATGGGATGTAATATTCTTTAACAGGGCAGAGTAGTGTTCATTCTAATCTGCCAAATCCCTACATTCAACTTGTATCAAAACACTCCTCGCACGCGCGTATGAGGTGGTATGATCCACAAACTCTTCAGAATGAACCTCTATTCTTATAAATAATCAAGGAGATCTCACCAAGAAGCCACATCGCCAAAGACGCCTCTAAAAATCATTCCGTGCTAGTTGCACTTCTCCACAGGGATTCCTTTAGACAGTCCTTGATTTATTTGTTAGGTTTTTGTCTTGGTCAGTTGAACACCAAGGGACACACACACTCCTACGCAGATGCTATGAACGTGTCCGACACGTGTCAAAAACTGAATGTGTCCATAATTTATAAGCAAAAAACTTAATTTGAGACATGTAACCTAACACTTAAAAACTTAACTTGTATCAAAATATGTTTCTACATAAAAATATACATATATATGTATATATTATACATAAACACACACTACAAGTATATATGTTGTGTCTTGTTATTGTATGTTTTTCCCTATTCAAGGGATGCTTACAATTATTAAATGATTTCAAAGCTCCACATTCATGTTAATAAAGAGCATATTTACTTGTTGCATAAAAAATATTTTTATATGAAAAATATATATTTTATTGTCGGGCCCTTGCCGTCCCATTTGCTTGTCAACCTGCTGTGTCACTGTCCCATGTCTATTTCCATGATTCTTAGGTGAATGTATCTGTTCTCTCAATTTTTAACCAACCCTGCAGCAAGTGTGCAATGTGGTGGTGGTAGTGAAGATGCTTTAAGTTTCTATAAAGCTAAGACAATTACCTGAAGGGAGTTCGGGTTGGTCAAAGGGAGAGCAAAGTGTTTTAGCTGCTCCCGTCTCACCCTTTGTTCTTGCTTTCACGTCCTTTTCTACTTCCTGTAGACAACAAGGCACAGATAACAGTACTAAGAGACTAAGAGACTCAACAAATATCAAAACATGAGGAAATAATTGATATGTACAAGAAGTAAAATGGAACAGTTTAAAGATATATGATTAATATAAATAACAAATATAAACACAAAATTTTGACAAACAAAGAAAATATCTATCAGTTAAGACAAAAGTGATTGGTTGGAAACAAAAACCAAAATATTAACCAACATAGCAACCAACTGTCAAGAAAATGGAAGCCTACTCACTGATGTAATAGTAATTAAAATGTTTGGCATAATATTAAATTAAAATAAATACCACACCTCTTCATCACACCAAGGAGCTAATATCATTTTCTTTTGGCCAAGTGCTTCCACAAATTCATCCCATGTCTTTATAACCTTAATACAAGCATCTCGTTTTAGCTTTGCAGCGTCAAACAGACTTTGTTGAATGTCAGCTAACATGTCATTTATTTGATCCACTAACTTGTCCACGGGAATGTCCACCTTGGCTGAATTGTCACGGCGAACGGCACGAACCTGTAAACCAAAATCATAACATTCCCATCTCCTCCAATGAATCAACAAAAGAATTTATACCAAAACCATGTGTACTACCATCTAGCAACAAATCAGAATAATCCAGGATCATTATCAGAAGTAAAATATCATTAACTATTAAAAAAATCCCAGATTGTGAAGTTTTGATGGGATTAACTGAAATTCTAAATTAACCAAATTGAGAATACAGTAGAATATTCATTTTCTACTGATTGGCTAAATTGGTTCATCAAAACCCTCATCAGAAAGGATCATGCAAAGACCAAAATAACTTAAATGAAGTCAGTAAAGGAAACAAATGTGTTTAGTAGTTTTTTGTCCCCGCATAATTCGTTAGAAGTTTAAATAATCTGACACTAAATTTGAGAATTTTGATGTAATGTCCAAATCTAATTCATGTTTTCTCCCATCATTTGTGGTATTCCATGGTTGGTAATACCTTGGGGACTTTTGGTTATTTGAAAGAAAGAGAGGAACATCTTTTTCGTGCCGACCCTCTTCCTATATATTGGGGGGACTGAATGAAATCACACGAGTTCAGGGAATTTCAGCTTGTATGTGTGTTCAATTATGGAATATTGAAAAGGATCAAATTATATGAATCTATACGGAAAAAGCAAAAAAAAAAATATATTACTACAATTCTTCTTCATTCTCGGATAACTGCAATAATCTCTCATCAATCTGGCCAAGATGAAAAACAATTGTTCCAAGCTGTAAACATTATTGGTCTTTATGCTGTTCAGGGATGCAAAGAATGCAACAACTAACAAAAGCAATTTATATATATAACATAACTCAGATATTCAACCATTCCTTAAACCCAAACCTCATCAGTCTAGTGACCTGATCCTGGCCCAAAAAATCCTCGGTAGAGCAAGGATGTGCTAGGCTTGATTAGTATAGCTCATTCTAGAACATGTTAAATCAATTTAAGATAAAAATAATAACAATAACAATAATAACATCTTTAATATAGGATTTTATTAGGCATGCAGGCTGAGAAATTTTTGTCACTCGGATCCAAAATACTTGCAATGAAAACTTCCAAACATCATGCTAAAACAGTAGAGCGAAGTTGGTTTTCAACCCATTGGCATCCCTTGCTAATAGAACATAAGGGGGTAAAGTTGATTCTTGAGGTATGGAAATAAATAATCAAAAGACGCAACAATAAGGAAAGAACAAACTTACTTGATTATTAGCCATGTCTTTTGGCCCAATTTCAATCCTCAATGGAACACCTTTCATTTCCCAATGGGAGTACTTCCAACCAGGTGAATAGTTATCTCTTAAATCTGCCTCAACGCGTAAACCAGCTCCACTTAAAGTATTCACGGTTTTCGAGCAGGCATCTAAAATGGCTTGTGTGTCAGCATCTTTGTAAGGCACTGGAACCACAATAACCTGAGTCGATGCCACTTTAGGTGGCAGAACTAAGCCCTTGTCGTCCCCATGAACCATCACCATCACCCCAATCTGAATTTAGACAACAAAGAGCACAAAACAGCAACAAACTTCTTAGAATTTTTTCGTTTATACAACAATCTTGTGCACATAGTTGATCTTACAAACTTCTTTCACTGAATCAAAAGGCCACAAAGATGCATGAACTAATTTTAATGGTGATCTTCCTAAATGGTGGTTGACAGGTTGTCATGCATGTTTATATTTATGAATACCCACATGCACAGGCCTGCACACGCATACAAGACAATATAGAGAGAGGAAAAAACTGAAACCATCTCAGAAAACATAAATTTTCAAAAATTTATGGAACTTTTCTTAACAAGAAGAAAAAAGGTATAATAAAAAACTTATTGTTGACAGGTTTAATTACATTTAATTTTTCAAAAATCTAAAAAAACAAAAGCCGCCGGCCTGTACCACCATCCAAATTTGCTGTAGTTTGGTTCAAAATTATAGAAAGTTAATTAACCCCTTCAGGAAGTATATTTAGTACCGCAATATATATTTATTTTAGTCTTTTGAATTAACAGTTATATAATTTTATACATTCAGTATTTTTAGTGCATGTTAACACTGAAAACTGACAAGAAATATCCAGAGGTATAAGTCTCTCCTTGGGGGAGGGTGAAGAGCTAGCTCATGGTTTCTCACAAGAAGGAATCTAAAAAGGTCTAACGCAGTGCACAAGGATCCCGCCATTGCAGGGTCTGAGGACGGTTAAATGTACACAGCCTTACCTCCACATGCAGGGACGGTTAAATGTACACAGCCTTACCTCCACATGCAGAGAAATTGTTTCCCATTTCAAACCCATGATTTCCAGGTCACAATGGAGCAAACCTTACCATTGCTCCAAGGCCCGCACTCTCTCACAAGACGGAATCTATAAGTGAAATCTTTTTTGATGCATGTGAATGCCACAACTGACAAGAAATATTCCAAAACATAAATCTTGAATTTCTACATGTACAAAAATAAATTACCGTGCGAGTACTGTATGCCCAAGAATTTTGCCAAACCTTCTCCTTTTCCCCCTTCTCATTCTCAAAATCGATCTCAAACATTTTAGCAAAATTTTGGCCCAAACAATGTGATGTGGCACCTTGTATTCCTCGACCAGTGTTTGGTATAAATGCCTGGCAAACAGTAATAAAGTATAAGATAAATATACACAAACACATGACAGGAAAGGCTAAATTGTAAAATGTGCAACAAATAAAATTAAAGCCACAAAGTACCTCAACACTAGTTGTGTAAAGGCCACCAGCAAATTTCTCCAGCTCACTCTTTTTACCTTCCACAACTGGTACTGCCAAATACTCTTCATATATTCGTCTATATAGCTCCAATATCTCAAGGACCTAAAATCAGGATGAATATTTGCATACCAAGATACCAAGACAGAAAGTAAGGCCTTACATTTCTCTTTTCCTTTTTTCCAAACCAAAAAAAAAAAAAATTGATAATAATAAATAAATAAATAAGACAGAAAGTAAGGCCATGAAATTTCTAACATGCCTTAAAATAAAAATATGCAACACTAACAAATATAAAATGGGCACAAATTCTGCATGCAACAATCAATATCAATAGTGCTTTAAGAAATTGGAAAGACACAACATGTCAAATACTCCACAAATCAAACAAGAAGACTAATAGAAAAATACAAGAAACAATATGTGAAACACAATAATAATGAAGCGCCAACAGTCCAAGGCAAAAGTACAAGTGTAAACATGAGCAATTCCATACCTCTGCATCTGCCTCTTCCTTTGTAGCAAATGCAGTATGCCCTTCCTGCCACAGAAACTCCCGACTCCTAAAAGAGCAAAAGCACATATGGCTAGAATAAATATTGCATATTATTTGAAAAAGGCAACAATTAGGGGAAAAAAATCCAGATATGCACAAATAAGTATATTTTAAGTGAGTATTCAGACAAAAAAACTGCCCTTCAGGAAATCCCCAAAAACACATGAACTCATCAGAAAAGCATAATCAACGCAGAATACAATCTCCCTTTCATATCAATGAACAGAGAAAGGCAAGACCATTTCTTCAAATATTGATTAAATGCTTCATTCAAAGTAAAGCTTGGTTATTACATAACCTTTACACAGAATTAACAGATTTCAATCATTTGCAAAAGAAGATACTTGATTTGATCAAAGCCACCTGAAAACTACACAAGACAAGGGAGGGAGGCCCCAGGATAACTACAAAATCATAATAAAAAAACAAAAGATAGTATCACTTACCAAAGAATAAGAACACAATATTTGCGTTCATTCTCACTCAAAACCAACAGATATATATGTGGACAAGTTAAAGCACAACCACATGGAGTCCAAAGGAAGAAGCAGCATAGATATGACTGACTGGAACACGCTAAAGATTTAAATGTCATCATTTGCCAGGATTTGCGTCCTGGACCAAATTATACATTCTTTATGCTGACATGAAACAGAAAGGACCAAGTTACAACAGGGTCCAATCTATTAGATAATGTGAAGCTCAAGATTCTATTCTTCTTTCTGTAGCTAGGCAAGTTTTTCTTTTGATTCGTTGTTTTTAAGGACTCAGAAGTCAACAATGGGCTACAGCAAGAAAATAGCCCTCTTTCGTCCCTTAATAGCCCCCCAACCTGATGAAGGCAGGATTTGATCCCAAATTCCTGGTACAACCAAAATGAGGTCTTTAACCCTCCTTCACATGCATTAGATTCATTTTTTGAAGGTTCCAGCTTACATGGTATCCAATCCCGCCATCATCAGGGTCATGGGCATTATGGCTAAGGGAGAGGCCTGAGAGGCCTGCTCCATTGTGTAGGCAATCCATTCGACCAAAGATTCCATATTTCTAAACGTGAAAGAAAAAAGATATTCTTTTCACAAGTCACTAATAAGTAATTTTGTTACTTTTGTCATTTAAGGTTTTTTTTAAAGCTGGTAGTATTAATGGTACATTATTTGGTTTAATTCAAGGATCTGATGAAATTTTACAGTGAACTTATGGCGCCAACTACACATATAAATCAGCCAGGAATCCTTTTTTCTGTCCATGTAACATAAGATGTGACATCCTTTGATGTTAGAATAACTAGACTAAGTAGTGGAAAAATACATCTACTGCATCAGAGTAAAATGTTGAAAGCAAGCCTTCCATAAACATACCCACGGGATATAACAAAAGTAAAAAAATATCACTCCGGCTGACTAGTCTGAGTGAGTTAGTCAACTAAGTTTGAAAAAGATTTCTTTTGTATTCTAAATTTCAACTGAACCACGCTTATGATCCTATTTGACCAATCAATTAATTTCATATGGTAAATCCAGAGAAAGAATTCAGATGCTTGATTAGGTTCTATTTCATAAATAAGTTACTTACGAAGCTTCATTGTCCCATGGAAGGTGTAGCATTGGTCAAATCCTTTTACAAAAACAGCACGTAGAATTTTGATTTTAGTCAAATAGGAGCTTTATGGTTAAGGTCTTCTAAATTGTTCTTTTTACAATTAGACTTATGAGTGCTAAACTTTGATATATCCCAGCTTGATTACAAATTCTTCAACTAATGATCTGTTCAATTTGATTGATTATGAAGGACAACAATTCGTCCTCTTATTATCAATAAATCTGACATTGCCTCCCAAATCCATCACATGCCTCTTTCGCAAGAGGTGGTTGAAGGTGGCAAATCTCAAGTCTTCACAAAAGCATGAAAGGTGACTTGTTTACTCTTATATGGGACATTTGGACAGAGTACAGCCGGATAATTGTTTTTTAGTGTGCATAGCTGTGTAAAAAAACATAACCTCAACTCCAATTTGTTTTCTTATAAATCAACTTCTTTGGAAGCTAAGGACTCTTCCTGCATTACAAGGGTGCAAGTCTTTGTGGTGGTAAACCATGAGTTCCTCTATCAGATCATTCAATTTATACTGGCATGCATGGTATCGCCCAACATTTTTCCTCTCTCTACAAAATTATTATCAAAAGCTTAAGAAAGGAATCCACCTTAGCACAAAAACAGTTTCCCGTGCCAATAAAGGCAAAACAAGAATCACAACAACAGAATAAAGTAAAGAGAAGCTGATAACATATTGTCATAGAAAACTAGTTTGCACCATCAAGTGTCAATAGAAAAATCAAACCGAACAAATGAAAATCAAAATGTCCATAAGAGACTACCGAATGAAAGGAGTAGGATGGCTGAACTCCCATCGTACAACATTGCACCACTGGTTTAGCTTTAAAGGTAAGTCACGGTGTCCCCTTATCCACTTTGAGTAATATGGATACATAACGGTCTCACTTGTGGGACGGATAGCAATAGGCACTTCTAATTCAGATTGTCCAGATTTTGTGACCCATGCAACCTAAGTAAAAATAAAAAATAAAATAAAAAAATGAAGGGGAAAAAAACCAATATTGTTGAGGTCAGCAAGAACAAAGTTTAGCACTACTCTAGAACTTATGCCAACGCAAAACACCAGAAAGCAAATGCAACAAATATGATAAATTCCACATTTATATACATTTAACCGCTTAATCTCAAATACAGAAATAGGAAAAATGAATTAAAAAATTTAAAAACTAAAGAATAAGGTAATGTGAATGTAGTGCAAATCAGAGTTACTACTTTGATTGTTGAAAACAATTCTTTAACATTAGTAACAAACTTGAAATTTTCAAAAAAGAACCAAAAAAAAAAAAAAAGGAAAGAATAAAAATCTCAATAAACCTAAAGATTTGCCAGAGGGTGAAAAGTAGTACAAACACAAAACAATAAAATAAAACCCTTCCTATGAGTAATAAGGACCTTGTGTTGGATGCATCATGATGACATATGACTACTCACCTCTGGAGCAAACCCCTCAATGTGATCCTTTTCTTTCTGCAGGACAACTGGTGATACAAAAAGAGGGAAGTAGCAATTTTTTATTTTCATCTTCTTTATTTCTGGATCAAAAAAAGCCTGCACTCACAGCAACAGAAAATTGAAAGACATAACAAGAGAGAAATTGAGTAAGGGGATTAGAGCAAGAATGAAGCCTGCCTCGCATATAGGTAGTTTTGAATATCAAGAAAAGTGCATAATACGAAATTAAGTTGACTAGATATTACAATAACATAAACTTCCCAACCACATAGCAACCAACCCAAAGAAGCAACCAAATGATGCTCAGATCCCAGATACTCGAGAAATTGGGTTCCTAAAACCATTCAAAGCACCTCACCTTCTTTGTTTTAACACCAATCCGTCCCTCTACGTGGACTATAAATACAAAAACAAATAACAAATAACAAAAACAATACCAATTCTATGTAAGTTATTAAATCATAAATAGGCATTCAGCAACGTGCTTCTACATGGATTATAAAAACAAAAACAGTCATTCTACATAAATTATTAAACCATAAATAGCCATTCAGCAATGTACTTCTCAGCGTTAAGCGGTGACAATGCTCTAAACAAATGAGTATATTCTATGAAACAGCAAACATTTTTATCAAGCTTGATGCAAAGGAGTATCTATAAGCCAAAACAATAATCTTGAGAACATAGAAATAGATCTAATGTTAAACTTATGGGTCAGACATTGGGTATCTGAACAAAAAACCAATAGTAGAACCCACAGTAGATAATTTTGGGTGAATGGGCAAAATTGTATATCTAGGGATTGTCTTTTGGATTTTGTGGATAGCATGAAGTTATAGTGACGCTATGGCAGCTTGTGTATCCTTTTGGGACCGCTCCCCTTTTGAGCGCCTTCTATGAATAACTTATCAAAAATTAATAATAATACCTAGATGATTTGAAAATTTCAAAGAAGAGAAATGTTGAGAACAACAGAATAAGAATCTTCACAGTAGACAAGCATTTACCTGCATGGTTTCCCATATAGACATTGTCCACGGCCTTAATATATAACAACCAGAGATATCATAGTATTCAATCATTTCACCACTAACAACCACCTGCAAGAAGGACCAAACACATAAAACATCGACATAAGTAATTTATTAAATATGTCCTGAGAACATATGAAAATGAAAAGAAACCCTGTAGGGTGGAATGAATTATGCACTTCCACAGCTTCCTAAATAAAGAATGGATTGTAAATTTGTAATACAAGGCACAATCAGGATAAGATTTTGAAACAACTTATTCCCTTTTGACACAAATAAGCTAAAAAGCCTAAAATCAGCAACAGAATGAATATCAGAACATCACAAATGCATGACCAATTGACCACTATTAAGAACAACGCAGTCACTATTGACAGCAGCTGGTTCCACCACAATCTTTTCTTAGGTAATAGTGTATGTCTCACATGGACACTTGAAATTGTGTCAAGTACAATGTCAGACACAACATAACATGGATCTATAAGATATGTCCAACAAACAGCAATTGCCAAACATTTTCCCAATAAGTTTCTCCGACTAAAGGAAGAGATGAAAATACTTCTAGTTTGCTAAAATCCCTCACTATAAATTCTTTATTGACATTAGTATTTTGGAAAACGAGCAAAGCTGACACGGGAACCACACTGCCTTAGATGTTCAGATATTCAATCCATTCTTACCAAAGCATTGAAGAAGAATATTGAAAGACTTCAAATTGTAATCATGTCTCCATGTTGTACAATATTAAAGATTTGGTGGATCACATGCCCAGATGCATATTTTCATCCAACAACCATAACCAAAGAAAAATGCTTTGTATATAATTTATCATACATATAAGTGCTTCTGCTTTGCCACCAAATCTAAAAGGGGGTTGTTTATGATTTCTATTTTAAAATAAAATTAAAAACTTAAAAATAAAAAAAAAATTAAATTAAATTAAATTAAAAGGTACCAAATGGTTCTCAATTAAGTTACAGTTAAGGGGTGTTAACTTGTTTCATTGCAAAAATTTGATGCCAAAAATTGAAATGCTGAATTTACTTAGAGACATAATTGATACCTCAGAGTACCACTCTCCGAAGTTCTCCTCCTTCTTGTAGGACAGCCCAAGCCTTGTCTCTTTTTTCACCTCCTTCTTCTTCCCACCTGAAAATTTTAAGATTTTATGCTCGGGTCAATGAGAACAAGACCATATTCAAACAATCAGATTAGAGAGTATGTGAGAGCCCAGATAAAGAACACTCACCGCCTTTAGCGTTGGCATTAGGTTTTTTAGCTTCCTTGGTGGCCATATCCTAAACAATTTATATCCTGAGGAGACACCCAATAACCCAAAATTAGATTTATCAATCACAACTCTTGACTGGAGTACTGCAGATATACTTCAAACTGCCTAATCACATTACACAGATATAATGATATACATACATACTTATATGAAAGTGTATATATATAATGCAGAGATCAACACAACAAAGTGCATAGGATAGTGGATTTATCATAAACTAGAGGGAAAAAAAATCAGAAAAAAAATGGAAAAATTAGAGCGTAACAGAGATAGTTGTTAAATAAAAGAAACAGAAATGAGAAATCAAATAAAGTGAAATTAAGAAACCTTCAAACTCTACAAAACAGATGGCAGTTGTAAAATGAAACATTGCAGATCGAACGCTAAAACAAAATAAAAATAAATAATATTCTCAACAGAAATATGCATAGAGAGAAACAATAAGCGTAAAACCAAAGCAACAACGGATAATTTTAATCATCAGATATGTAAATAACTCTAAATTGTCTCTTATTTTCTTTACTGGAAATACCTTTGCCGGCGATTGATGCCAACACTTTGAGAAGTCGTCGCCGAAGAGAGAGCGATAAAGAGAGAGGAGGCGATGAAGAGAGAAACAGCTCCGAGCTCACACTCGTAAATCTTGTAATATCTCTTTTCCATATTTGTCCCCGGCCTTTTATGCTATTTACATTTCAGTCCTTGTCTCTTTACCTGGCATTAACTAGGCCTAAAAAAAATTAAAAATAAAATAAACTTACCTAAAGATTCGATTCTTTACACATTGTCCAAATTCAAATGAAAAAAAAATAAAATAAAATAAAAAGAAAAAAGAACACTCAAATGGAAACACAAAATGAGTACATTTATAGAAATAAAAAAAAAATAAAAACACAGTAGATTTCATTTATTATTTTTCTGTAATGAATACTAAATATTATAACAATATATATATATATGTAATTAATAGTATATAATTGGAGCGGATCGGAGTAATATGCAAATTTTTATAGTTCGATTGAATTTTTATGCAATTGATTCAAAAGAGTTATGTAGCTGAGATTTTTCAATTTTTATGCAATTGAATTTTAATGCAATTGAGATTTTTTTTTATGGGATGTAGTGTTGGTATGCTATTTAGAGCAGTTATTAAAAAAATAATAAATAAACAAAGTTCAAAATACTATAAATTTAACAAGATGCGTGTTGTTTAATTACTTAATTTAACACTTAATGTTGAATAGACAAGATGCGTGTTGTTTAATTACTTAATTTAACACTTAATGTTGAATAGAGTTTATCCAATTAAGTGCGTTTGATAACTCAATTTAAGTATCATCGAAAATAGTAAGCCCTAATTTAAAATGATAAAATAAAATGATAAAATTTTAAGTAATAATATATCACTTATCACTAAATGTTGAAAATTTTAAATTTAAAAAGATATCAAAAAATATTTACTTTTTAATTACCACTCAAAAATTTCAGTACTAAAAATTCAACTCTTAAAACTTTCAATACTTATTTTTTAATTTTATAAAACAGGACAAAGTGTCTTGCAAAATTTTGATATTTAGAGCAATAATTTGTCAAAATTTTAGTAGGAGAAGGTATGCAAATAATTTTATAATTCAAACGGATTCTATGCAATATAAATATATACATATTTAAAATTAATTTCATATCACGATGCTAAAAAGTGTGGGAGTTGTATTTTTTGGTGTATGAGAATCCAATATAAATGTATACATATTTAAAATTAATTTCATATCATGATGCTAAAAAGTGTGGGAGTTGTATTTTTTGGTGTATGAATTATGTTTTTTGCCAATGACCCAAAAAAAATAATTAATTAGTTAATTAAAAATAAATAAATAAATAAAAATTAAATTAAATTATATCCATGATGCATGTGATATCATGTGATCCTTATCTCATCCATCATTTGTTTATTTTCCACTCCCTCTTTCAATTATTTAAAATCATCACGAATCACCCACAATGTTGTGTTGTTGGAACTTTAGAGAAAGTCAAATATACCAAATAATATGTAATAAAAAAGACCAGCGGAGTGTTTGGCATAGTATAAATTTTGTGGGCGACTCGTGTGACTGAGTTCTTGTGAGATACCAAATTTGCAATCACTTTGTTAACAAGTGACAGGGCATAAAAAATAATATTAATCAAATAAATAAATAAATTTTTACAGTCAATTTTAATCCAGTCCAAATATATATTAATCATATTAGTTCACCCAAAAAATATTAACCCACCCAATTAATAATTTTTGAATATGTTGGTTCATAATTATTCTACAAGCTTACATTTGGAATTGAGTAGAAAAGAGAATAAAGAAGAAAATGGCTTTAATTCCATCATAATATAAGAATTGCAACTTTCTAAGAGAATAAGGGGAATAAGATGCTTTTAACTAACTTAGCTGGAAAGATATATAAAGAACATTCAGGAAAAAAAAAAAGAAATATATATATATATATATATATAAAGAAGGAAATTACTTTCTAGTTAATTCCATCAAACGATAAGAATTTTAACTTTTGAAGAGCATAAGATGCTTAATTAACTGTGGTGGAAGATAATAAAGAAGAAAATTACTTTCTAGTCAATTCCATGAGAGTGAGTTAATTCTATCTAATTGTAACTTTTTCAGAGAATAAGATGCTTTTAATTAATTTTGGTGGGATTGAGGATTCCAATCTGAATTGGAAAAAATCTATACATATTCATCTTTTATGCATATGCACACACTCACGTTTTGTTTTTGGGCCAATTACATTTTTGTCCCTACCCCTTTAAAGAACATACCATCTCCCCTAGTTCGAGGTGAGTCAAATTTGTTACGAATGTTAAGGCCTTACTTAGTTTGTAACTCTGGGAATAGTTTTTTGTTCTCAGAAAATTGAAAATTGAAAACTGTACAAAAAATTCTGCTTGATTCAATTTTCTGAAAACTCAGTTATAAATAGGCCTGTTTTCAGATAACTGTCTTTTTATTATTCTCTGAAAACTATTTTCTGTTATCTGAATTCTTAAGAACTATTTTCAGAATTACAAACCAAACAAGCCTTAACTCTCTCCAACTAATTTTCATACCAGTCACACAATCATCGAACATCTATATGTGGAGATTGATCATTCATCATTCAAGCACACAACACAATATGTTAGTCAATAATTGACTCTAGAGGGGGGGGGTGAATAGAGTCAATAACCAATGTTGTAATTTTAAAATTTTGTTTCCAACTAAATAGCATGCAATACACAATAAAAATATTCTAGCAATATAAGCACAATTAAAGAGTATAGAAATAGAGAATTGCAAACACTGACTCAGCAATTTAGCGAGGTTCGGAAGCTCCTACTCCTCAGCTCAAGGTCCTCCCTTGAGACTTTCCAAATCACTAAAGCTCCTCCTTAATGGTGGAGAGCAAACCTTCAACTTGAAGCAAGACTTTGCTTTTTTCTTTACTAGGAGAACACCATTCTCATTAGCCTTGCTTTTGGGTCACACTAATCCTTACAAGAATGTAGAGATATATGAAGATTACAATATTGTTTCTTTCTCTCTCTCTCTCTCTCTAGAGGATATTACAAGAATTAGTTTGACACTAGAGTAGAAGGATGAAATAAAATGAAGCTCTGGTCTTTTAAACTGATATAAGAGAAGGAATAAGAAGTAAATGCTCAGATCAGAATTTCAGACTCCTTTTAATGCTCTTAAATGCACTTGGATGATATTCTTTGATGATCTCTAAAAGAAGTTGTTTTGTTTGTAGCCCATCTATTTGTATTTGAAGAGATTTCGAGTTCAATAGAGCTGTTGTAGGTAGTTGGAAGCATTAAATCAAATTCTAGCCGTTGGAAGTTTGAATCTGCAGAGCTGCGACCAAACCGGTCGACGTATGGCATAAACCGGTCGACGTATCCTTTATCAAACCGGTCGACGTATGCCACTTACCGGTCGACGTATATGTTGAGTTCCTGAGATTTCAGTACTGCCTAGATACCGGTCGACGTATGTGCAAACCGGTCGACGTATGAGTTGATCTTTGAATTTCGCCTCTGAATACATACCGGTAGACGTATGGCATGAACCGGTCGACGTATATGAGCTTCTCATCGAATTTGGCTACTGCATAGATACCGGTCGACGTATGCTTCAAATCGGTCGACGTATATGAGTTGATCTTTGAATTTTGCCTCTGAATACATACCGGTCGACGTATGGCATGAACCGGTAGACGTATGGCATGTTGTTCTTTGAATTTTTGCCTCTGCCTTGTAGAACATTTGCATTCTCTTGTTTTTGCATCCTCTTGTGTGTTAGTTAACCATATTCTTTATATAATGTTTGCAGCCTCTTTATGTTTCAGGAATGTGCATCTGAGTCAATATGATGGCATGAAGATTCTTTCATTTCTTCAATTAAGAAGCATTTATTTCCTTGCATTTTAACTCAGTTGAAATATTAGAATATAAAACTCCTTTAACTGATTTGTTATCATCAAAACAAATGGATTAGGACTTTGATCAACAATCTCCCCCTTTTTTATGATGACAAATCAAACATGTGATCTAGAAATGATATTGGGTTGTATTTGTAAAATACTCCCCCTATCAATTTGCACACAGTGAATATAATGATCATGCTTGTAGAAAAAGGAATTTAAGACAGGTATGACTGAAAATATTTGCAAGCAAATGTTTTAAATTCGGAAATGATGTCTCCCCTTTACTACATGCTATATAGAATATTTCACATTTTTCATGATGCATGGATCAATATAAAACCAAATAATAACAAGAGATAAATGTACTATCAAGATTGTCATAGCTAAAAATATCACAGCATATTATCCAAATACCAAAGTTTTATCAAAATATTCCCATAGTTAAGATAACAAAATGTCAAAGTCTAAGTTAGCCAGATTACATCATTGTTCTCCCCCTTTGTCACATCAAAAAGAGGGGAAGGGCAAACAGCTAATAAGGTGGTAAACCGAAATTGGTTCGTAACTCCTGAAGATCAATATTCATGCTTCTCAGTTCTGCCCTTAGCATGACCACTTCCTCTTGAGTTTGACGAGATACAACTAGTTGCTGAAGGATGAGCTCTCGAATAGATGGGTCTGTAGATGGATCAGCCTACAAATTGTCAAGAGGAATCTCAACTTCCATATAAGCTGATTCTGTATTAGCTGGAGGGACTTCATCATCACTTTGGTTGCCCTCTACTTCCTCTCCATCCGAATCTTCAGTTTCGCTTTCAGTTCGATCGCCACCTACTATTTTGGGATCGTACCAATTTCCATCATCATCCCTTTTTAATCTCATACATAGAAAAGCCAACTTGTTAAAGCGATGTTGAGATAGCAGGTTCATTTTGGGCTGACCAGCGAACATAACCCCTTTTGCTCGGAAGATCTTGGTGAGAGGCATTGCGTAGTATAGATGACACTTCTCAAGGTTGACACAATCCATCATGTGATGGTATATTAAGTGAGGCACATCAATTTTGCGTCCCTTAAGTATACACCAGGTTAGAAGAGCTTCCATGTAGGAAACGTCAGAATAGCCACCAGTCTTGGGAATGATGGAATGGACGATGACTCGATAGATTATTCGGGCTTCAATGGTGAGGTCACTG